CCGTAAATAAATACTCAGTGTTTCCTTTAAATGACCATTCAATAAAAGCCCGGGTGAAAACCTTAATGAAACAACGAAAACCACCGGCCAAAGCTCTTTTAGGTTGAGCAAGGGAAGAGGGATGGAGTTGAGTCGTAGACCGACGAATCGGTAACGGACCTGTTATCAAGGATAACAGAAGACGATCCTTGTAGGATCGAGCTGACACTGACCCAAGTTCTGGATCAAATTAACCAAAGAGTAAACCTGTATAACAAGACAAGTCAATATTCCAGCTAATCATATAAGCGTATGGAGGGTAACCTCCATATCTCATCTGCACCCGAATTCTACAGATGTTAGGCCTAAACTTACCCYTGTAYAAGTACCCAGAGTAAMACCTAGATCTTTAGGTACACCTCTCCTATAAGTGATTGCCTAAGGGTCGCCACCTGTCGACTTATAGTCTAACTCCTCTAAAAACAAGAAAATTTYGGCARCGCTTCYCGTAGGAAAACTKCMTTCCCAGAATTTATACGAGCTCAAATATAGACACTAAGATAAATCTCAACTTTCAAAAGTCAATGTTTGTCTAAGTCCCTGAACTAGCAAAAATTTGGGCAGCACTTCCCCTAGAAAGGAAGGTTTCCCAAATTCTTACTAAGTCAGAAGTACTTCAACAAAAGTTCAACCTTTGAAGAGTCAAACTTAACCAACTCCTTGGTTTTGCAGAAATTTCGGCAGCGCTTCCCGTAGAGAAAGTAACTTTCCAAGATTTCTACAAGACCAAATCTACAAAGTGACCCAGAAACTGCGAGACAACAAGACTAAGCAGAAAAGACAACTACCTCTTATAGCTCTATCACATGGCGAGCACTAAAGCAACTACCTATCAATACAAACCTCAGACTAGACACAGGTGCGACTCATCCACATGCAAAGCCATACCACAAAGGTAAGTCCTCTCACCTCCCCAATTTTGAGACTTTTCCAACAATAGTTCATGAACTCTCAGTGAGTTATCCCTCTGTACCCAGCTTACAAAAGGCATAAAGCCAGACCACCTGAACTTACAGAACAGTCTGACTTAGCCAAGAATATACACAAACAGAGGGCACAACTACTTCTCTCTTCATTTTGGCATAAGCCCTGAACTGCTTAATATCCCAGTTATATATATTTATCTGAATTTAGTCTTCTAAGGTTGCATAGGACTGAACTCCTCACGTTCAGTCTGCCCCATCTTACCTCAAGTTCTATTCTTAATTCATACTCTCTTCAGGTTGTGATAAGCTATAGTCAGGCCCCCTGAACTTACAGAAGGGTCTGACTAGCCTGTTCTTAAACAATATAATATCAAAGTGTATCCAAGTTATAACCTTCGGGTTCAAACATGTGCGAGGCATTGAGTCAGACCCCCTGAACTTACAGAAGGATCTGCCTCTCTGCCAAACTCCTTTCTCCCTGATCCAGCGTGCATGGCCTTTGGGCTAGATCCCCTCAACTTACAGAGGGACCTATCTTTCTTGCCAAAGTCAGTCCCCTCTGAACCCTTATGTGCGCGGCTTTGAGCCAGATCCCCTGAACTTATAGAAGGACCCAACTCTTCGCCAAGTTCATTCCTCTCTAAATCATCATGTGCGTGGCCCCCTGAACTTACAGAAGGGCCAAGTTCCTTTTCAAAGCTACTCCCTCAGAATAAAACAGAAAGGGACTACGCCACCTGAACTTACAGAACAGCTCAGTCACCTTGTTCAGAAACAAAGAAACAGAAAAAAAAACAAAGAAAATCAAGGCAACATAGGGTACCAAAACTTATCGAGCGCCCTAAGTCCCTGAAAATTTCAACCACAGTCAAGCCTTCACAAGTCAGAGCAGTTAGGCCACCTGAACTTACAGAACAGCCTAACTCTCCACGCAAACCATAGCACTGGGTCTCCCTAAACTTATGGGGACCTCCCAGCCTCCAAAGCAATCAGACCCCCTGAACTTACAGAAGGGTCTGACTACTTCATGCATTACCAGAATGAAACACAGCACTGGGTTTCCCCAACCTAAAGGACCCGGYCAAACTTCATGTATAACTGCCTTCCTCCCACCCTTCCCCCCAGATGCACCCCCTTGTGTGATACATGCCTGCTTTCATACCATAAAGAAACTAAAACTTAAGATTAAGCATGCATTCCTTTAGCTTATCTGAGTTTAGATCCTGAAAGTTAGACAAAAGTCAACTATAGGATGCATGCGCAGTACTCAACCAATACATAGAGAAAGATATAGATAGGGGTTATATCTGGGTATATAAGGGAAAAAGAAAGTTACCTCTGAGTTCCCCGCCCCCAGAACTCCTCCTRAGTTCCGGCGGAGCTCCCGCAATCGGTGGGCTGACCTCCCACAAGGTCTTGCCGCGGTCGTACGGGTTGCCAATCCCCCCTGCCGCTTTCCTCTCGTAACCTCATACTAGACTGAGAGTAAGAAGGATAGAAGTAGACAGGTTAGACGCTCAGATCCAAGAGAGGTGCGCTCAAACTCACTGGAGAGGGCCACGTTACCTGGATGCGTCTGAGGGCCCCGTAATGATGGTCAATACCGCCACAGAAGACAACCAAAACCACGGCCAGAATGCAACGCACAAGTCCCCTGACAGGCTCTCAGAGTCACAGCAATAACCCTCGCTGCACCAAACTCCGCCCCCCCCTCCAAGCTTTCGTATCCCTCTTTTCGACCAGACCGCGGCCTCTCAGCCTGGAGAGACCGTGTCCAGGTACAGCTCCTTAGTCTATTCGAGGCACAGCAGTACATAGTGAAACACAGTGTATTGGCGCAACTAATACTCAGCAGCTATAACAGTACCCGTATGACCGGCCGAGAGCTTGTAGCAACCACCACAACGTATGCAAAGCTGAAGACGCAGCAACCGTAGCAGCAGTACACAGCGGTACACAGCGCGCTCAGTAGTGTAGAGTTACTCAGTAACCATAGCACTTTGTGACAGATATAGCAGCTGCTGCAGCAGAAACACAACCAAGGCAACCTGCAGCCCACCTAGTAGTAGAGCATACCAGATATTGTAATCAATTGGACGCTCGATGAGAAGACACCCCGCGGTTAGCCTTGTTGCAGCCTCATCCAACGGCAAACAGCGTCGCAAGCCAAAAAAGTGGGCCAGCAGCTTCGCAGCCCGCTCTTCCTCTGCTGCCTACAGCGGCCCCTTTAAGTACGAGTGCATCTGGCCGTCAACTCCAACTAGGTTTATTTGAAACTTAGTACGAAATAACCAACGGGGTAGTGATGATTATTATGACGAAGGTCATGGCTATAACTCCTATGAAAACAGCCGTGAGAGAGGGCATGCTTAGTAGCGGGGGGTCTCACCCTTGCCCCGTAGAGCTAGCCGCACAGCACCAGACAAAGGCATGGTCATGGCATCACCTGGTCAGAGTAATCAGCAGCGTCCAGCATCAACATCCTTACTAACACTCATACTCGAAGTTCACAGCGCTGGCCCAATGTTGAAGGCAAAAACCTGCAAAGAAAGCAACCGTAGTACGAAGTGCCACTCATAACAGCATCAGCAACTTGCTGAGCAGATACTGACCCAAACATCCGCCACCTCCTGAGCGCACGGTAATAGCCCCCAGGAACACAACCCTCAACAACGCTCTATGCACAGCTGCAGTGGCCTATCAGCACTGTCAAAGCGGCAGCCGCTATCAGAGCCTAAGTAGCAGTAGTCCAGGGGCTAACTAAGTTTTGTCGCAACAACTCTCGTCATACTGAGTCTTCACAATGATCCTCGTTCGGATGTTTACTCCAAAATTATCACGGACAACCCTGGAAATCATCATTTTTGCCTTGGATCTGCTTCTCTTTGTTGTGAAAATCTTGACCGCACTATAGTACCTTGCTAACTCGACCAAACTCTTGGTTCGAAGATTCTTCAATTTTCGTTGGTTCTTGAACATCCCGACCATCTCATCCCCGATGGCCAGCGCAGCAGGTGAGGCCTCCGTAATCCTTCGGAGGACAATTCTTCCTTCAGTTTCGAAGTACTTCTTGCACCGTCGCAGAGGTCGCGTTCCTCTTCCAAATTTTACCCTAGTCTCTCCGAACAACCTCTGCACCACTCGCCAGCCATCCACCCAAGTCCTTCCGCCATTACAATAGAGAACAACCTCCCCTTTCCGTTTGATCAAGCTTCGTAACGTTTCCACAACTTTTACACTGCCTTCATTTTTTCCTTCAAGGCTTACTTCCAAGATTCTCCCGGTGTCCTTATGATACTCTCTTAGCCTACTGCCAGTGTCGCCTTTCCATTTCATCCTCTCCCTTCTTCCTGGCCTACGCTTGGATTTCTTGGGTGTTTTCCTTGATTTTACCGATCGAACATTCAGCGAAGGTGACCAATGCCTAATCAGGGTCGCCTCAACAGCCTCTAATTTTGAACGATCTTCGCTTAAGAATAATGGTAGTGCTACGTACCGGTGAGCCCCGACCTTCCCCAGGCAGTTATATAATTGCCGCCTCTACTTCGTCCCCCTCCTTCCTTGCCTAAAGTGCTCTCGCCACCGTGCCCAAAACCCACGCTCCGTCATGCCAATGTAAGTTTGCTTGTACCTGGGCGAGATCAGCAAATAAACACAGCTTCGCGGCTCCGACAAGTCAAACTTCCCTTTCTCTATCTCGTCCAACCAGTAATTCACGAATTTCTCACCCCATTTTAACTTCTCACTCAAAATCAATCCAATCGTAGCAGCCCGAAGTATCCCCTCATCAGTCTTACACTTACCCTTGTTATGTAGTCTACGATCACAAAGTCGTTCGGCCACCTCCAAATAGTCGTTGCAACAATCAGCACCTCACTCAGATTCCTCGTCAGAGTACGATTGCCCGGAGTCACAATGATCCGACCTCCTTTCTTCCTTACCATCTTTGATCATGACGCCTTTAGCGCCCCTTGTTTGCATCCGTGGAATTGTTGGAAGCGGAATAACCGAAGGATCGTAGGCAACTGACGATCGTCGAATCACCAAACGCTTTATGGCCAACTCACGGTTTTCATAGGCAACTTTCTCGCGCCGGCAAGCCTCCTTGAGTTCCTAAATGGTCAACGCATCATAGAAGTCTGAACATTCCTTCTCGAACTTCTCCTTTCCTCCTGGGCCGCACGACGCCACAATATGTTTGAGTGAAAGATCGATCTTCCTCGGTGTACACGAAGTACCCGCATCTGCGCCTTGCTCACTTTTCAACAACTCAATTCGCGCCATGGACTCCCCCGACAACTTCGTATTTGACTTCTTCTCCGGTGTGACTATAGGTGGACTATTACCAACAGGTAAATCAGGACCACGTTTCCTTTTCTCCGTCAAATTCAACTTTGCCGCCAACGCGCGTAATGCCAACAACTCGTCATCAACTTCTTCCTCGGTATTACCGATTGTCTTCGGTGCAATCAGCCGACGTAGCCGCTCTTTTTCATCCTCTATGGATTCGGATCGACAACCAGCTTTGACCACGCCTTTCCCTCTCCTTTCATACCTTTCCCTCTCTTCGTTCCGGTCCTTGCGCATTTCACTACGAATAATCCGTAGCAAACGCGCATCACGCTCCGCTTTTAGCCTTTGTCTTTCCTCCTGGCGAAGCAACCTTTTGTTCTCTCGCTCCTGTCTGAGTTCTTCTTCTTTACGACATTTTTCCTCCTCGGCTTCACGCTCAACACGGTTTCTACGTTCCTCCGCCATTTGCAGAAAGTATTCCCTCATGAGCGCATTCGTATCATCTCCCGTCTCGCCCCTCTCAGTCCCACTTTCATCCGACCAGCTCCTCCGAGCAGCTATACTTGTACTAGCCACCGCGGGTCTACCCATGTGAGTGGGGTTAACCGTTTGTGCAGACGGGACAAAGGCACGCCCGAGAGCTTTCACCTGCCCAAACTCTGCACAGTCACATATGAAGTGGCCACCTTCGCCGCATTTATAACACTTCCAATTGTCTGGCGGCAAACCGCCACCACCCCCACCTTCCATGTTTCTTCTTGAATCAGCTCCGTCACTCATCAGATATCGAAGATAAACCCCTCAACATCCGATAGTCCTCTAGCTAGTACAATCTTCACACCGAATCTTCGTCTTGAGCTACCAACGAACGCTTCTTATCATAAGCCGCCACCTCCGCTAGGTACGATCTCCTAGATGGTTACGACCTTGGATGATAGGATTCAGAGAACTGCCAAGCACGCAGTCAACAACACACTCGGCCAGAGGCCATACACGCTGTAGATTCATCAAAGCATCTTAATTATAAGACAGACTCACGTTAACACGTGGCTGTTAACAGTGGTCACTTGAAGCGCATGATGAGTGATGAGAGGCACGACTGCCACAGTCGTCAGAGATGACCCATCCCCCTTCNTTAACACGTGGCTGTTAACAGTGGTCACTTGAAGCGCATGATGAGTGATGAGAGGCACGACTGCCACAGTCGTCAGAGATGACCCATCCCCCTTCCCACACAATCCATTCCCCCAGTCGTGTCGACGTCATCCGGTTAGAGAGGATTCTCACTTTCTTGATCCAGCTATTTAACCAGTGCATCACGGGATAATCACTCCGGCTCTGATGCTCTACCCGTCAAAACCACACCACACCACCCCTAAGTCCTGGCGAYGGCTACCAGGTTACTACAATACTAGAGATCGAGTCCTAAACCAAGCAAGCCAAATTTCGCTGCTACTATGCACCTAGACTGCCTTATAGCTACGTTCAAGCCACCTCCTCTGTCCTCTTCTACTACACATTCCGAAGAAACTTAACGGATCTGGTCAGGAACGAGGCCAGAATCAGAAAAAGCAAGAAAAACAGCAAGGAGAAAAATAAAAGGAAAACAAAGAGAAGAAAAAGAAAAACAAAAAAAAACTTACCTTGTTTCATTGCTCCCAAGGAGTGCAACAATGGACATGAATCTCCTGTCAGATCATGGAAAGACACACTAGCATAAGGATTGCAACCCTACCAACGAGGTAGGGTTGCTGCCTCGTTGCCCACCACCTGCTTAGTCCACAGGTTGAGGGGAGCAACAAGCAACTTGTGATATTAACGAGCTCAAGTCCAAACATGCTCAGAGATGGGTGCAAAAAGTACCCCAACTTTGGAGCTTCTTAATAAAGCATTCGTCTAAAAAAATCTGAAAAAATTCACAGGTGTGGCGGAGGTGTCCACCTACTCAAAAAAAAAAAATTCAAAGCTAAGGGAAATGATTTGAGCCATTAAAAAATATAGGTGCGAATTTGAAAACATGAGTTTTCTAAATTTTTCATCCCCGTTTTTTTTCATTTTTTCTTTTTCCCCCTCTTCTCCTTTTTATTTTATTATTTTTTTTCTTTTTGCTTCCCGTTGGCATAAGCCACTGCCACTCCCCCAATCATGGTGAACCTACAAAATGTTGAAATACATACCCAAGTTCGATTCCAAGAGAGAATTTATGAAAAATTTAAAAAATAGATAATTTGTCAACATATGTGTATAATCCTTACGCAGGGACCATGCTAGTTCACAACGCCAATCTTGGCTGCTTCATTTCATCAATCACACGGTCGAGATGACCGTGCCATACTCGTTGGCCCACGAGCTGCTCCGTCAAAAAGCACTAGCTCAGTGGGGCTATAAACTTCAATCCTCGCATCTACTGGATGTAAGGTTAGTGGGTTACCTACCAAGCTAGCTCCTATCACACCGTGATAGGAACAACTCTTCTATAAGAAAAGTCTGCCCACTCACCAGATAGGAGTAACTCTTCTATAAGAAGAGCATGCCCACTCACTAGGTCATCCTCGACAAAGCCCAACAGACTCAAAGGTTTAAGCCTGTTGGCATGCCCGCCCCCCCCGCCCTTGTTCATTTGGCTGGGCTTTGAGCCCCTTGGCCAGACGCCCTGCCTGCACCATTCTGTAGTCGGCTCACGCTCGGCCTTAATAAAAAAATACTAAGGTCGGGCGCGGCCTTCTCTCTGATTAGCCGAGTCGCAGCCCTGATGACCGCGTGCTCATTCAACCCTTACGACAGCCACACACCTTGGTGCGGTAATCCTTGTTCGCCCCTTAGGCTCCCAATCGTGCGATTGGTCATCATGTTAAGTAGGATATGTTTTAAATTTATCATTCCAACCTTTCCACTACCGTACATCCCTGTGCCTTTACCAAAATTTTGTCGAAATAGGCAGAGAATAAGTTTGTGTCCGTTGAAAGCTGCTGGTTATATTCAACCAGCGCGTCAACTGAGATCCCTTCCACTGTATAAACCATGTTGGCGTGGAAAAGATTTTCATCTTTTGCCCATTCTAATGGGCACCACACCCCCTTGTTTTGTTCGAGCTGTTCCAAATCTGACTCACTGGGCCGGACATCGAACGGGGCGACAAACAAATGGACCCCCTTCTCGACGTAATTTTCGGATACCGCAAGTTTTCAACCTTAGGTTCAAAATGTTTAGTCTCTCGGTCCTAAGGTTGGTTTGAATAGCCTTTGGCAGACGCATCTCTCATGAAGTCTCTCAATTCAAAGTTTAAAATACCTTGCAGATACCCTTGTCAGGGTTTCTGCCCCGACAACATTCCTGGATCCCATTGAACGACGTCCCCGTCGTTTACCATTACAATACATAGTCATGATTCTTATGAAAATTTTCATGTGAGAACAACAATCACAAAACACAATAACAAAAAACAATTGTCTGGGACAAAGTCGGAAGTTTCCACCAACAAATTTGGATTCAGCCTCCAGAAACTCAAATATCATAACATAAAAAAAACTCGATTATGCCTCCAAAAGTCTAAACAAAAACATAACAAAATTGGATTCTGCCTCCAAAAGCCTAAGACTTAACATCCTCGCACTCATCAATTAGAATAGTACTAGATTCCGCCCCTTGAAAGCCTAAAATCAAAACTTGGACCCAACTTACGCCCCTGAAAGACAAAAATACAAAGGATTTTTTTTTAAATGGTTTTAGCATCATCCCACTAGCGGCCAACAATTTGTTTTTCTGAATGGTCACCAGATTACGCCCCTGACAAACCTAAAACCGACAACCTTTGGGTTGACATTCCAATTAATTAACCTTCAAGAAGTTGTTCATATAAAGTTTAAATGAACCATCGAGAGATCAACTATTCATTTAAGGTTATCACCCAAGTTTTAAGTTTAATCAAATTTTGAAAAGAAATAACAACTTACATAGTTATCATGGCTGATATTTATGAGTTGTTTGTATCTTGCATCAAGGAGTGGTGTAATCGTTTTCACAGGATAGCATCTCGACATCGAACTCTGCTTCAGATTCAAGTCTCATCATATTTCCTCTGATGTCGATGTTGTGACGCCATCAATCGGTTATTGATAGAGTAAAACAGCACCATCTCACACAACCGAGGTTAGTGAGGCCTCGGCAACGGAGGCGAGATGACTCTGCTCGACACGCGTAGTTATTTTTCTATAAGTAGCGTCTTGATATGTCTTGATAAGCTTTCTTTCAATGTTAGTGTAGTCTCCCTGCCTTAAACCACAGGATCCAGAAAACAGCATATTGTTGTGGACCAGAAACATAACTCAGGCGCGAGCCTCACTACTACTTACATAGCTCACAGTTTCATCGAAAATTTATTGCGACATGATAACAAATGTACAACAAACTTCAATTAACCACAAAAAAACAATTCCTAACAAATGTTTTCACATGAAATTTCATAATCATCCAAACCACACATCTGAACAATATTCATGTCATAGAAATGCATCGCATATAATATAAAATGGATAATCTTAAAATAAATGCGAATCCAGTTAAACTGATGAATCAAAATATACATCAATCGAAATACATAAATAAAATGCATAACTCAGCAAAATAATATTAAGAGAAAGTCAACCTTTGGTTAACAATGTTTCAAATAACTCAAACTTAAAATGAACGTTACAACAAAGTTAATCTTATAACATCATAACTAAAATAATGTCTCAAAATTAATTATAAAGTATCTCAAAAATTGTTGAGATGAATGATAATAATCTTAACACAGTGACCGAAAATTTAAAGATAATAACAATAAACTTTTAATGTCAGAAAAGGAATATATTATGATTCAATTAATATCATAACAATTAAAATGTATATCCAACTGAAATGTTTAGAATAAATCATCGTAATAAAATTAACAATTTATGACATAAAGTTTTAAAATAACTACAAATCAATCAATGTTGATAAGATAATGAATTTCGAAAAGTCAGAAGACAATGAAAATAATTCATCAAAAAATAAATACCCGAGGGTCGTTCCACCAGGGACAATGGTAGGTAGCCGTTATCCCCGACAATGGCGTCACCTGTCGAGCACATCGACTCCCGCCTTTTTCGCAAAAGGAGAAAGTCATCCCCACCACGTCATGCAGGATTAAAAGAAAATGCAGGGACAACTTGGGGAGAATGCAAGATAGTCTCACGAACCGCCGAGACAGTCGTGGTCACGCTCTCACAGCGCCGCTCTAGCCGGGTGCGCTAGTTGTACTTCTCTCGGTCCCCTACAACATGATAGGTTATTGTAGTGCACAACTTACCTTTCCTAAAAGGTTGTCACCACCATAGAGGCGTATCCCTACAGAGCTATTGACCCACGTGCGAAAACTTTTAAATCCAATTGCAAAGGCAAGTCATCCCAGGGGGTTTGGTCGTTCGCTGGTACGTTTGGTTAAGACGTCAACTGGACCCGGACGTTATTCGTTCCTTAGGGCGTTGATCTCCTAAGTATGAAGGTCACGATGATCGACTAGGACGGTTGCAACGATACATAAAACCTGCAACTAAATCCTAGTGTCTTAGACACACAACTCGGAAAGAGTTACAAGGATATACCAAAATGAATCGACCAGTAGTCGATAGAAAAGTACATTTGAATTTAACGTGTGTTCACATGATAATCGAAAATCATTTCATCATCAAAATTAAATAAAAATTACAAAATTGAAATGAAAATCGTTCATTGCAGATCGAAATCGTTAGAACACTATCGATGGAGCCAATAAAAGTTGGTTTAAACAATAACCCCGATTCATCCGACAAGGTAGTCGGACTGACTTAGTTTTAAATTGATGA